GCCTCGCTGGCCCTTTGCACTGAAGTGCTACTGCTGCTAGTCCAGATCCTTGTCCTTTACGTCGCAAGAGTTGCAAGTCTAAAACGTAGCTCCACATGCTGGCTTTTCAGCTCCAAAAAAAAGCATGTGGCGGCTTCCCGAAACCCAGGCACGGGGAGTTCTCGAAAAGTGCTGCTAGGAACGGGTACAGTTTTGGGTTGCGGAGCTCGGGTGCACTGGGTTCCGAATCGGGGTCCCTGAAAAAAGTACTCCCCTATGCAAGCAGGGACCTTGACGAAATGCTGCAGAGACGTATGCACTGCAAACCTGTTTGATACGCTATGAAGGGAGCGGAAAATGCTGGCCACCACTGGCTTTCGGCGTAGTGCGCGTAGCAACACGCACTTAGTTCATCATCAAGTTGATGAGTTTCTGTTTCTAGATTCACTGGCTTCTGGATTCTGAACCCGTAAGCAAAAGACAGTCTTGAAGGCTTGTGGTGGCAAAGGCGTATAGCGTCATCCCACACCCCAAGCCAAAGCCCTCCAGGTGGGTGATGGCAGAGAAAGAGAAAGAGAAGAGGAAGACGAAGTCGGTAGCTCTGCCAGCAGATGCGCCGGAAAGTCCGGTGTCTCCCAGGCCTCCGGCATTAAGCACGAACAGAACTCGCCTGGCCCCATAGTGTCAGGGATTTAGACTTCGTGGCATATCTTGGCGATTCAACCAGGATGAAATGCTGCAGACTCCCCCAAGCTTGAAAGGCTGCAGCAGCTGTCAAGATAGACATGGCTACTCTGACCACGTTTTCCTCAGATTTCCTTCTGATAGCCTGGTCACCTTAGCTTCGGGGAGTTCAGCCAGGGCTCCGGGTCCTTCAGCCGAGTCCGATGATTACATGCAAGTGGATCTCGATATTGTGTAGCGTATATATACACATGCAACACATGCACACACACATATCTGTATACATAGATATTCTTGCTTGTTTATTGTTTATGTATACCCAGTATTTCATATGGTAGGTGTATAAAATTTTTACTATCTTTGCCAGGAGACTTAAGGCTGGGCTTGCCAGGTCAGGCAGCGACAGACGTGCCATCCTAGTTCAAACAACCCGGAAAACCTTGTCATTACATACACATAAGTAGCTCTTAGATGTACATGGATATAGTATTAGTATTATATATATATGTACATACATGTTATATGCGTGACCAGCTAGAACGAATCATACTACATGTGTATATACCTACACATGCACACCCCAACGCGTATTCGATCCGGACGCGCTCGAGAGGGACCTTAAGGCTTAAGGACCCAAGCACCTGAGCCTTACATCCTCAGCCCTAAACCCCTAAACCCTATACCCCTAACCCTAAAGCCTGAGCCCTACATCCTCAGCCCTAAACCCTGAGCCCTCAACCGCAGCCATCCTGCCAGGAAGAGCAATGCTCGGAGGAGCCTCGGCCGAAGCGGGGGGCTGTAGATTGGAACTTCGCAAGCTCGAGGTTTAGGGTTTAGGCTCCTTTACGGTTTGATGTTTCTGGCATTTTAGGCTTAATTTAAGGTTAAGGCTTTCTGTAGCTTTAGGTCTGGGGTTTGGGGGGTTCATGGCTTCTGGAGTTCAGGGTTCTCCCTCCACATCTTCGGGCGCTTTCGAATGGCAAGCCTTTGCTCGAACACCTGGCGGCTACAGGTCTTGAGCAAGTTTATGGAATACTCTGATACATATAGATGTACAGATAGATAGATAGATAGATAGATAGTCTCAGTGTTAGCCGACCGAATGCCCCGCGGCCTGAGGAGCGTCCACCCGACCTTGAGCAGCTCCCCAGAGGACCGGAAACTGTTCAGGGTTTCATATAATGTACAAGAGCATATAGAGTATGCTTTAGAGTTTGGGTTCAAGTGCTTCAGTTTTGGAGTTTGGTTTTTTTTTGGGCTCCAGGCCGTGAGTTCGACTTTATATTATAGTTGAGCCAAGGTCGGGGCGGTTCGTGCAAATGCGGTGGTTCTGCCAATTTTCCCGGTAGGACTCCACTATCCACTCTTTGCTTTCCGCAATGTAGCATGTTGCCCCTATAACATTCAACCCCATGATCTTCGAACTCATTGTTTCCATTCACAGCCTAAACTCTAATCCCCGGAAAGGCCTTGCCTGCCGTGTGCGGGAGTGAGAGTTGAAACCCCGAAAACATCCCCAAAAAACACTAAAGCTTAAACTCTGGGAGCCGAAGCACTAAACCCGCAACTCTTAAGCTCTTAGACCCTAAACCCAGAAACCCGTAGACCCTAAACCCATAACCCTTAACTCATAAACCCTCAACCCTAAACCCATAGCCCATAAACCCTAAACCCTAAACCTTTGGCGACACCCGAAAGGACCTGGCAGACCCAGATCCCGGCAGCCCCAAAGGCGCCGAGCATCGTTGCTAGTGGGCTTAGGGTTTAAGCGTTTAGGGTACAAGGCGATTGCACATGCAACAAGGGCACGGGGCGTAGGGTTTCGGGTGCACGGGAACTGAAGACTTCGCCCGCATGACAACAGTGGAAAATGGTGGCCACAGTCGTGCTACTTTGTTTCTGCAGGCGCGGTACGAGAAGCATGTGGTCTGCTAGTTTGTAGTAGAACTAGAAGTAGTGGGGTGGGTAAGAGAAGCATTTGGTCTGCTAGTTTGTAGTAGAAGTAGAAGTAGTAGGGTGGTGGTGGTAGTAGTAGTAGTGGTAGTCGCAGCAATCGTTTTCGTACTTGTCCTCAAAAACCCACACCAGCAAGGTCGCACCCCGGCCGCAAAGCGGCGGGTGACGTCTCTGTACTCCGAAGAGGAGCGGGCAAGAAGAGGTGCGGGAACCTGGAGTTGGGGTCCAGAGTTGGGGGCCCACAGATCAAGGGATGTGCTGTTCAAGGTTTGCGGGGGAGACAGCAGGCAGGCATATGCATACGTACATGCAAGGACACAAGCACATGTATATACGTGAAGATGTGTATTTCGGTTTTGTTTGGGTGTGGGATGATCTCGCCACGGCAAGACTCCAGGATCGCATGGTGGAATGTCCGTCCTGGCGATCGAAGCAGAGCTTGCAAAGTTTCAGATGCTTCTCAGCTGGATCCTGACTCATTTCTTTGGTCTTGAGTTTATTGTAGCAGCTTGGTCATGCTAGGAGTGTGAAGGTCCTAGCAGCCTAGCACCTTAGTTAGCATCAAGAGCTTTCGCATCCTGAGCATTTCCACAAAAAGCGCAGTTCGGAACCAACAGGCATCCGAGCTAGTGACAGCGTGGCCCTGGAAAGGTTTTCGGGATGCAGCTCCGAGATGATCTCGGAGCTGAGCCGATTGACCACAAGCAGGATATGCAATGAGGGCCAGGCGACGGACTCCCAGTGTTGTTGTCAGCACAGCCACTATCACCCCAGATGTTCTGAAACCTACATCTCAGGGAAATGCAAGGCTTCGGCCATGTCCCGTAGTTGTGTATTGTGGCGCTTGTTCTGTGGCCTGTCTTCGAGGTGATTTCCCGTGAATTGGTTTGCGATGCAGGAAACTGCGGAAGCCCATGTTTTTCAGGAGCAGTTCCCGAAAATGTTTCCTCTGGCGTTGGGTCAATAGTGAAGTCAGACCTGAACTTGGCCGGGCTCCCTTTCTCGGCCTCTGCGGCCGAGAAGTGCTCAGGTCGTCTTGGGAATCGAGTCCTAAACCTTGAGTTGCGGTGGATCAAAGACAGGGGCTCCTGACAATCTCGCAGTGCAGTGAGTTCATCGAGAAGTGTTAATTACGATTGTTTCACTGTTGGTTCTAATTATTCAAGACTCAAGACTAGCATCACTATTGCCGATACTGTCTCCTCGTTTCCATGGGCAGTGTCCAGAGCACAGCGTTTCTAGACGAGCGCAGGGAATCCGAGGACTCTGTTGAAATGTTTGGTACGCTGACCGGCACCTTCACCTCGGCCCTAGCCCAGAACTTTCCCAGAAAGTCCCAAGCTGCGCAGCTGGAGGTGATGCAAGCAAAGGGGGACCACACGGATGCGCTGCTGATCGTTCTCCGGGGCACGCTCAATATTTTCCTGGGTGAGGAGTGCCTCGCACACGACCATAAGAAGAAGGATGTGAGCAAAGAGGGATCTGGGCCGCCAAAATCACCATCGTAATGAGCATCATCGCCATATTTATCATTTTCGTCAACAGCGTCACCGTTATCGTTGCCATCAGAAATAGCAGTGGTCAGCACCAATAGCATCATTGCCAGGTAGAGTAGATTGTGATATGCCTCCTGAAGCCACGCCCTTTGTTGGTCCGTTGCTGCAGTGTTTGTGCGTTCTTCCGTTTCTAGACTGTCTAGCTTGTCCGTGGGGCCGGCGACACTCGAACTTCTGAAGATTCTTAGCCTAGCTCAAGGCATTGCGTCTCGGGTGAATGTTCAGCAAATTCAGCATCTGCAGGTTCCGTGCTTTTTACTAGGACATCGATGCAAGCACCAAGGTGCATCGGGCAGATGCGGATGCTTTGCCGGATTAGCATGTAGCTACTAGGGCGAAACGAGGCTGTCGAAGACAAGCGCAAAGACGGCTGACACATCCATGGGTTCACGATTTCACGGGTTGGTATCGTCGAGTCTGGACACATTTTCCATGTGACACTTGTGGGTTGAGGGTTTAGGGTTTACGTCCAGCTGTCGCACAACCAAAGACACTTTCTGCCGGGCACTGTGGCATGAGGAAAGGGGACCACGTGGGTGAGACCTTTTTCCTCGCTGTGGAGGACTTCGAAGTGAGCAGAAGTTGGTGGAACGCAGCGCCCCTCCTAGCGTCCTGAACAGCCTGTCATGATCCTTCGTCGTTTGGAGGCATAGTGGCGAAACGGATTTGTTGATTGTAAGCTGTTCGCGCTGTGCTGGCCTTGTACCCCGAAGCCCGGTATGCAAATCCCTGACCATCCAGACGAGGAGCCCACACGCTACCCCGCAACCACAACAGCAATATTATAACGAAGCCCGATGAGTTCCTCCACTTCCCCTGAAAGAGGACCTTTGGAACATACAGCTCGTCGCCGCCGAGTTGGGTAGCTGGCCTTCTTCTATTGTTCAAGCTCCAGAGCCAAATTCCCGGCTTTGAACATTTTGTTGTGGCACTGTGGGCGTTGTCAGTTTTACTAGGTCGAGCTCCCTGAACTCATTTTTAGTTCTGCTGTAGTAGGTTATTCCTCATGCCAGCAGGGTTCCCTCAGGGCGGGAATTCGTGCAATTGGTTTATGTTTGGCTGATGTGGGGATTGAAGTGGGTCGTGCATTTGGGCGATTGCTGATAAGCAAAACACTCTTGAAGCCCTACTTCTGCAAGGTATGGTGTGCGACGTCAGCCGCGAGGTGGCTTGCTTGTTGTCCTCAAAATGCAGTGGCTGCCTATCAAGAGCTCCGGAGGTACTCCAAGATGTTTTGAAAGATTTCCCTGCAGACAAAGAGCTGCTCAATCCGAGCCTCGTCAGCAGTCCGGGGGATGCTCTGAGGAATCCTTTTAGAGGCTGGCCTCAAGTATCAGAAGCTTAGTGGTGCTGGCACATGATGCCTGGCCAAGGCAGGAGGTCCTTCATCACTTTCAGCCATCAACCCCCCAAAGGTAGAGTGAACACAGATGAAAGCAGGCCCAAAACCTGTCCTCAGAAAGAGAAACCATGGACAATGCTTGGGCGGGTGCTGCGCAGGGGTTTATTGCCACGCCCAACTGCCCTTGTTTAGGGTCGGGCTTCTTCTGAGGCGCCTGTCAAGCTGCAACAAGGGATTGTCAGGAGGAGAATAGATGTATTCACGGGCTTTTCTGGTGACCGCATAGTACAACGCTAGTAACTAGTAGAATCTGGCTTTATTTGGCAGCTGCCGGTTGCAAAGGTATTTGTCTCAGCCGCCCCACGTGCACCTACTCACGTCTGAGCGCATGCTCCAGAGCCCCATCTTCGCACAGCTTTCCGAATCTGCTTGGGAGGCCTGTGGACTTACGGCATCAGGGGTTCTCGTTTTGGGCCTTTGTGCCATGCTTCGCCTACTTTTTCCATGCTAACAATGTCTATCCTTCGGCATAAGTTAATGTAAGTGTGCCCTCTGTTAAGGCTGCTGCTGCGTTAATATGCATATTGAATCAGGCCGGAGTCTGCATCCTGCTGGAGAAGATGTTTGGCTTCAGAGTGAAGTAGCAAGAGCACTAGGCACCCCAGTTTCTCTTGCTGTTTCCGCTCTGCAGATCTTTCGGGACAACATGGTCCGGCGTATCTTTTTCCCTGGCGAGACGATTTTGGCCGAAGAGTCCAACCAGAAGTATCTGGCACCTCGGGAAAGATGGCCCTCATTGCTGCAACTTTTCTTGTACATGTTTCTTGCTGCTATCAGCTTGTTCTTCGTTCTTACTGCGAAATCATGAACGAAATTCACCATGCGAGCCACAGGGGACGATCCCATGAACTCCGATAGACTTCCATCTGGGACAGCCGGATGTGCAGCCAAGGTGCTTCTGGCGCGTGGGGCCGCAAGCATCGAGATTGCAGGCTCTTCTGCGCAATAGTATGTCGATGTCGTCCGGTCAGCGTCATGGTTCTGCAATCGTTCTCTGTCCGGAGTTGCTGCCGGAGTTAGTGTTGGACATTGCTAGCAGAAATGGGATTGGATTATCTGAATCTGAGATCTGCTGCAAGGCCGTACAATTCGCGTCGAGCGCAGGGGCGAGTCTCTTAGAGGCCTGTCCCAGCGCGAGGGAGTGGCGATGGAGCTGGATGTCCCTGGGCAAAGGATGGCTTAGGCGAGTCATGCAGCATGCAGTGGCAACAGCTGAGCCTGTAAGCCATGGTGCCTGCTCCTGTCTAACATTGCTGGTGCTGTCGATTTGTGCTGGTGACTTGCGTCCACCACTGAGTTGCTGCTACTTGACCTGCCGCTGTTCTTGTACAAGCCAGGTAGCCGAGTCATTCAGTAGGGAGATTGAAAGTCGTTCATTCCAGACAGGCAAGGGCTAGGGCTAGGGCCCCTCCCTACTGTAATTACCTAAACTGTCATTCTCGAAACTACTCTGAAGAATCACACCCCGGGGAGTTTGGCGCTCAAGGGCAGAAGCCCTCCTCCTTTCTTAAGGTCGGAGGCTCTTAGAATGCCACCCATGCGTCCACCTGGGCAAACCCTGAGGCAAACAGCTCGGAGGATGCGGTGCATCCTGCTGTTTCTTGGACGAAACAAACATGCGTGAAAGCTCGCGTGGGGACGGCTGCACACACCATTTCATTTACCACGGCTTGATTCCGATTCGCGAGATCGCATCTTTGAAGACTAGGCATTCACGACTTGAGCTCGGCTTCGAAAGGTTGTATCATTGTATCTGTATTAGCCTGGAATCCTGTGCCAAGTCAGGTCCTCGGTGACGCAGAGTTCTTGGGCCTGAATGACATCCGTGTCTGTTCGGTCAAAGCCGATGCAGACCCTCGGATGCACAGTAAGTTCTGCAGCTTTGTTGTTTACAGTCTCGAGGAGTCTACAAAGTGTCTCTTTTCCTGCTCGAAAGCATCAGACCCTGCTGCTGGTGCTAGAGATATAGCCTCACAGATGTAGCGTCAACAAGGAGCGCACGGCGAAGAACAGGTTTAGAGTTTCCAACTCCAAACAAATAAGCAACCCGCAGCCTGAGGAATGCCACTGTTGGCTCATTCCTGCCCCGGTCCTGGCCAAAGCGTTTGCCAATGGTGAGAACGAGACCTGGTTAGCAGCTGCAACCATCGACGACTCAGCGGTAGAATGTCAGTTCTGTTGGGTTAAGATTTCCCCTTCATGGGAGCACCATCTTGAGGAGAGTCTCCTGAGGGATCTGCTCGCTCTCCGTGCAGATCGAGGCAAGGGCGAGCTCTGTGAGATCTCAGCTGTACATATCTTCACCGACCAATCTTATGCGGTCATACTGGGAGATACATCTCAGCATCCAAGTTGCTCTTGAGTGGCGACTTGCGGTTCCGCTTAGGTTCAGGGCTTCAGGTGTTTGCATGGCAAACCTATGTTCCATAGTCTCGTGATGCTGAGAAGCTGATGCGTGGTGCGGTTCTTGGCAGGCAGGGTGGACAGTGGAAAGCTTAGCGTCCTCAGCATTTTTGATGAGGCTGGCTGCAGACGCTTGGACCCAAGGTAGCACCCGCGGGCATGGTGGCATGGTAATTTAATTGTTTTGAACTGAAGGGGCCCAGTTAGCCTGAGAAAGCTACCCCAGTGCAGTCAGGGCACGAAGTTTTCAACGACCTGATCAAAGCTGTGGCTCCTTCGGTCTTACCCGGCAGTGCAGTTTTGCGGAACCCGGGCCAAGACAAAATCCCGAGAACTAAGAATCGAAGTCTTGGCCTGGGCGCCCTTCCCCAGAGAACCCAAAACCCCTTAATTGAGGAATATGCCTTAAGTTATTAGAGTCATTAGAGGCCTTAATATTATGATTTAAAGTATATTCCCTAATTGAAAGGTATTGGGTTCCCCGAAAAATCCAGATCGACTGGGGTACAGTAGTCACTGGATGCCTACCCTTTTTTGAATGCATCACGCCGACTCTGCGAGCTGTAGGGCTGTAGGAGTCGTGTCTACTCTACTAGTACCCAGAGAACCCAATACCCCTTAATTAAGGAATATACCTTTAAATCAGAGGGGCCTTAATATTATGATTTCAGGTATATTCCTTAAGTAAGGGGTATTGGGTTCTCTGGGTAATGCAAAGCATTCAATGCCGAAGCTTAGCCCCCTAACCCCCGAGTGGCCCGAGTGTGAGCCCCGAAGCACCCGTGGACCCACAGAAAGAAGCGCTAAGGGGAACTCAACCCTGCTCGCCAAAACCAAAGACCGAAACCGAAACCCAGATCCAAGACGGTTCGGGACCGAGGCTTTGACTTCCTCCGATACCTCCAAACTCACTTTGAGGGCCGCATCTTTGTTCAAGGCAGCGCGCAGCTTCGAGGGATCCGAAAGGGCCTTCGGTAATCAGAGTGAGGGTCGCCGCAAAGTGCCGAGCACGAGCTTGTTGGCATTTCAGAAATCGGGGACTCCAGCTTAAGATAAGAAGGACTAGCATGGATTCCTTGTCTCTAGGGTGTCTAAATCAGTTTCCGTTCCTTTTGTTCAGAGTAGCCTCCCCAAGAGTTGATGCTTGGGGCCTGTGACCTGGGGAGTTGCGAAGCCCTGAACCCTTAACCCCATGGTTGGGAGTGGGGAAGTGGGGCTTCCCGCCCCAATGGAAGACCTAAACCCTAAACTCACGCCGAAGCCCCAAACCCCCAACCCGTGTCAGGCAAGACCATTTGCGACTTCGAGATTCCCATGGGCACCCGCGTGATGCACATCGTCACCAGCGGCTACGCTGCTTCCGTAGGTGAGACAGATCCTTGGATCTGGAATCTGGGGTTGACCGGGCTTATGAGGTCCTTATCCTGTAGGTGCGAACTCTCCAACGTTTTCATTCTCGCACCCTTAACCCTCAAGCCTCAGCCCTCCTCCGAGCCGTAAGTCCCGTTAAGCAGAGTAGTATATGAAACTAAAACTACCGGTAATGGCTGATAACAGCCTATGCGGCTTTACATGCTCAAACCTCAAAGCCTTCCGGCAACCCCAAGCCCCAAGCATTTGTCTCGTTACAGCGTAGATCCTATTCACTCTGAGCTTTAAACCGCTTCAACTCTGCTGACACCCGTCTTCGCAAGCTGATGTTCCTTGTCCGGCATCGCGTGCACGATTATACCACCATGGCTGTCTTCCACTCAGGCCGGAAAGCGTGACACTGCGTCGCGTTACATGCTGCCCCAAACCCTCCACACTCAAACCTTCAAAACCCGCCCCTAACAGCTGCAACCAGAATACCGAAACAAGTTTGTCCGGGTCGCTGGCTGTAGCTGTGGGTGGTTCGGGCGGGGGTTGCGAATCCCCCCTCACCGCGCGACAAGGGTTCGGGTCACCGCTGTAGGCATGGGGCCAGTGGCAGCCCATGTCGACACTGACCTTAGCGTAGCGACAATAATTCGGAGATGCAGTTCTCAATATTCCAGATCAAGCATCCAATTCAAGATCTCTGAGCTGAGCTCCACGGAGTCTACAAGGCTGAGAGCCAGACCAACAGAACGGCGCGGAGGACGCGTGCGGGGACTTCAAGCTGCTCCCAAGCCATGGTTACCCATTGCCCACTGGCAACGAAAAGGAGTCCACAACGCGATCAAGACCTATCCCAGCCGGGATCGGGATCCTCCTTCAGGATCTGGGCGAGCTCAGTTCAAGCCTGTGGAAAAGGATCTTTTCGATCGTTTCCACATCAAGGCACACCCAAACCATCCGCTGCCGATCCACGGACTTCTCAAGAGGCGCTTCAGTCAAGGAGTCCGAAGCCCTGTTGAAAGACGAGCCTTCAAAAGCCAAAGGTCGTCTCCACACATGCATGCGGTATGAGGCCAGACGGCTTTTTCTTCCAGGCCTGCTCAAGAGCCGAGTCTCGCCTTTAAGATGGGTTCTTGCAGCCCTAGCATCTAGGAGGGCTTTGGGGCCCTTGCTTGCAAGGAGCAGACTCGCACGCTGGCAGCCAACACTGTCTTCGGAATGATGAGTGCCCTTGGGGTGGCGCCACGCCCCGCTAAAGTGAAGAAGGCTGCGAGCGGACATGCTGGAAGCGAAAATCACACCAGCCGGTCGCACCTTATGAATGCTGCAGCCCCGTAGTGACTCCATCCCTGTTTCCTGCAGGTGGTGGCAGTGAAGCATTGCTACTGCCAGCTGCTACACCAAGCGGTGGTGGTTCGGGCTCTGGAGCTTTTCCCGGACCAGCGAATGAAGGCCGGCTTGTCGTGTCTGAGAGGTTGCATCGAAGCTGCACAAATGCAGACTTACCGAGTATGTGGATTGGCCGATGCGCGTCCGGCGGGCCACGCTGCGAGGGATATTGTGCCAGGTGGGGGAATTCAGATTCGTTCTTCCAAACTGCGGCAGCAACAGCCGCGCATGTCCGTCAGCCATGCTTTCGAAAATATGTAGAAGCAAGAGGTAGCAGTTGGCACTCAACACAACCGAGCTCTGCATGTCACATGGACCAGTGGCGGCAGACACAAGCGCGAATAACCAAGAACCGCAAAGAAGCAACAGAGTAAGCACAAAGTCCTTCAGTGTCCCAAAGCCTGCACGGCACGACCAGCCTGCGCTTTTCACTGTACGGCCCTTCTTGCCTCGAGGTGCTGACACTCTCCAATGGTGGTCAGGACCATGACGCAAGGGGCCAGCTTAGGGAGGCTGTTAGAACAGGCGAGCGATTGATATCCTTTGGCTATGGCAAAGGCTTATGGGTGATAGTAAATGCATGACCACCACGCCGAAGGCGCATCGCTCGCTGCACAGCATGCAACCCATCGTTGCCAGTGCCAGTCCAGTGTCTTTAACTTCGGATTCGCGGTATGGTTTCCCCCCGAAGGAGACAGACACGGCGGATCTGATCGAGCGAATTCAGTGCTTTGACTGAGCAGACCATGCAGAACCCGCCCTCGAGTCCTCGAAACGGGTGCAAGCAATATTCGGCGGCTGCCATGCTTAGGAGTAGAGGTTGGTAGGGCATGAACCTCTTTCGAATGGCAAGGCGTAGCTCTTTCATCCGGGGCGGTACGGCAAGTTGCCGGGGCAAAATCGTGTGGATGTAGAGATGTTGGCTGTGGCCCGGAATCTGAGACTGTAGATAAAGGGAAGGGCGAGTCATTGCTTGATGTGTTGGTCTAGAGTTTAGGTTTACAGAACCTCCAAGGAGCTTTCCGCTTGTCACAGTGTCTCATCAGGAATTCGCCCTTCTTCGCGAATACAAACCCGGATTTCGTCATGGAGCTGGCGAATGCAGCAGTAGACCGGATCTTCATGCCTGGTGATCTGGTGGTCAATGAAGGCGCACACTGTTGGTTTGGTGTTTTGAGCAGAGCATTAAGTGTGACAGTTCCTAGTTGCGTTGACTGCTGCAGTGCCTCTGTCTGCCAGGCATGCTTTGCTGCCATGTTGTTTAGGGCAACTGAGGCCTAGGCTTCTTGCTGGGTGAGTTATATTAGCATGGAAACCTCTTCCAAACTGCTACGGCATGGAGGAGCATGTTTTGCCCATGAACCCTTTCCGGCCAAAGGGCGAGAAAGCGAACTTTGCGGGTGCATTGCACATAGTTCTGACAAGGCGAGGTCGGCAACTCCATGTTTATCTTGCTCAACGGATCCGCAGATGTTTATGCAGCTGGGACACAAGGACAGAAGTCGCACTCACAAATTTCTGACGCATGATTTTTTTCACGCATTTTTCTCCCGGCCGGAGAGGCCAAGGCCATTGTATGTTGACTCAGGTCAGCGACAAGAGCAAGGACAAACAGGAGAAGGGGCAAGTAGCCAAGACACTTGGACCCTTTTGCAAGCTGCAGGCCTAGTTTTCAAGTTGTAGTAAGACAGGCTGGATTGATTTCCGTTTTTGCCGGCTGCTGTTGCTTCATTCATACAGCTCAGGAAACATGACACTCAGATCAAGCAGATGATCCGTGTTGGGCACTTGAACTCGGGGGCCATCGCAGGCTGGCGGCTGCATGGGGCACAGGACTGTGCAGACAAGCAGCTGCGTGCAGCGAAAGCGGCCTCCACAGATTGAGATCCTAAACCCTAAACCCTGAACCCTGAACCCTAAACCCTAAACCCTAAACCGTGAGTTGAGTACATCACAACATGTCATTGACTTGTGAGGCGAGCTGGCCATGCTTGGAATATCGCAGACTCGCTCGGCCACCTTACAGCAAGCTGCCGTTTCAAACTGCCCTCTTGAGCCGTAGGAATCGCCAAGATGAAGCTAACAGGCTCAGCTTGTCATTGTCGGATTCTGTCCTTGACTCCCGCAGCGAAATGTCAAACTCAGCTGCATCTCGTGAGGCAAGTATTCAGGCCTCGACGCTCTGCGTATTTTGGGAAGTGACCCAGGACGACAAAAGGGCTAGAGCTTTGAGTTGCCAAAAAGGAACGAAGGGGTTGGTTTAATTGCAGATCAAGAGGACAGACCGCGTACATATGTCTGGAAGGTCCTCCTGGTACAAACCTGATTCAAGGCGTGCATGGTGGATTGGTGGGGTCTTGCGACACCAACTTAAGGAAGTGTTTGAAATTTGTAGCAGCTGCACTAGCACAAAGAGTATTTCTGCTCGTGGTGGCGGTGGCGGTGGCAGCTGGTAATAAGCCTTTAATAAGCGCTTTTTAGGGAGAGGCGGGTCGGAAGCTGTAGTAGCTAGCGCGCGAAACATACTGGAGGAGAAAGTGATGCCGGAAATGGAGAAGCGCCTGCTTTAGAATAGTCTTGTCGATCGCTGGTCTCAACGTGGCGACCTGTCCAGGAACCATTGAGAATCCACGTTCTTGATCCCGCCATGATGCCATCATTCTTCCCTTTTGTGATTTGTCAGAAACAACAACTCACTTGCGAATCCCTGCGCTGCAAGCATATTCCGACTCGTTCAGTCGTTCGCCAAGTTTTCGCGACTGTCTGGTCCAGGAGAGAGCCATGAATATCCTCGACCGGTTTCCGGAAGAGCAGCGTGGCGAAAAGCCGAAACTTTTCAAGCCTCAGGTAACGACGCTCTGAACACTTGGAGCGTTAGAAATCCGACGCTCGGATGCCCCGACCTCTATGAATGCAGAGCTTGAATTCTGTCTGACCGACTAGCTTTTTGCTTTAGTTGATGGTAAATGCTCGCAGAAGTGATGCTTCCTGCCAAGGCGCCAGCTGTTCAGCAACGTTATCGTGCAAAACCTGGATTTTACTGTGACGGGCCGGCTCATGAATCTCAACCTCTTCAAGGGCCCCTTGGCAGAGATGGGATGTCTGTCAGGCGGACGGTAAGCCACTGCACGGTCATGTCGAGCTGCTAGAAGTCGTCGCGGGAACAGTTGCGACAGTTGCGGCATGTAGTGGGTGACATGCCATGCTCAGTCGAGGTTTTGACCGCAAGTTCCGGAATTTGCTGGCCCTCTACTGCGAGCGACATGCTTTTTTCCCGGACCATGCGGCCACGCGAGAGGGTGAGAATGGGGACAAGCTCTGCCCTCGGTGCTGTCATGAGATATGCGCCCAGTCTTCTAGCATTGTGGTTCTCAGGCAGCACAATCATCCCGCAAGTCAGCCAGTTTAAGTGTCGTTGCTCCCAATCCGAAGACTGGAGAAGCAAGCTCCCAGACTTGGCTGTGGCATGGGGCATCAAGACATTGCGAGAGTTCCGAAGGCTGTGGATCATGAACTCTGGCCCAGCACAGCTGCAGAAACGAGGTTTCAAGGCAAGTTGGGCATGCAACGAAACTCCAGTCTGGCCCCGCACCTTACACAGTTGCAAGATGGGCTGTCGCGCAGGTCAAACTCTACACTCCGGGCACCTACTTTGGCAGCGACAACATGCTTGGGCCCGCGGGATGCATGAAGGCAAGGGCGTCTCGGACTGCATTCGGCGGCCTGCCGAGGATTTCTCGTGCCTACATCGGCAGCCTGGTGGCCATGACCGTTTGCCACATGCTCTCCCTCTCACGCGCCTTGGTGGGTCGCGCAGTCCAAGGCTTCTATTGTGAACCTGAAATAAAGAAGAACAGGTCGAGTGTGGTCGAAAAAACAGCCTTCAGGTTTGAGGGTGCGTGTTCGAGCTCTGCTTCACGGGGTGCGTTTTGGTAGGCCTGCTACAGGTGCCTCCTACCTCCATGCCCTTGAGCAGCACCCTGGCCGCAGCAATCTCGGTGGACCCTGCAATTTATCCTGCCACTACGGCATTCCGAACAAGAATTCACGAGTTTGACGCAGAACAGAACGCTTGCACCCCCCCTCGGAAGAATGAAGGCAAACAGGAGAGCACCAGGAGACCACCATGGGATCAAATTTTGGATTCAGGGTATAACTCTGATCCGATCAGCCTTTGGAGCCTGGACATTGCTCCTGAGGTACCCTTCGAAGACCGCACACCAACGCCTGGCATCTTGGAGGGATTCGTGTCAGGCCCTCCACCTCAGAAGCTGTCACAAAAATCATCATGAATCAATGATGGTAGTTCTCAGGGGTCCTTTTGTCCACAGCCTCGGTGAGGGCAAAATATTCTTTCGACACTGGACAGCACAGGCCTTGACTTGGAGCAGTGCACCGCGGCGAGTAATCCTAAAGCCCACGACCACCCTCTAGAACCTATGCGGTAAGCCCTACGCACACCCAAGCCGGGGACACCCAAAACACATCAAAACACTTCAATCAAGGTGAAGGAGCAAAAGAAGCAGACTGCGGAGCTCAAAGACATGCTGGAAAGGGTGGCCATCCGCAAAGGCACCGTTTTTTTGCCTTTCCAGTTGAGGTTCAGGATCTTTGGCATGGTCAGAGGGCGAATAGGGGGCTTAAGCCATAGTTCTATGAGAGTCGCTCGCATGCGGGACGTCTACGAATAACTATCCGAGCCCTGTGCAGTTCTGCAGATATGTGAATTATGGCCGTTTGCTTTGATTTCGGGAAACTTCTCTTTTCCCTGTCGCTTGCCAGGTGTGTGGCAGAGGTATCAGGGCGAGCTTGCAGGAGGCACGGGGCGTGGATTGCAGTTTCGGATATATTGAGACTTGGTCCTCGCCGCTGCTAAGCAGGGTGGTTCTGCTAAGGCTCCGAATTGTTTCCGCAGCGCAGACATTGGAGGTGCCGTGTAGATGCAAAGGTCAAGAAGCCAAGCTCTCCGTTTATCCGTCTTGTTAATGTGGCAGTTCGCGAGAAAACCTTCTACAGTTTAGAATCCTTTATTGAGGTGGCGTTTCCAACCTCAGCGACAACGAGCTGGTGCGGCGGCTCGTAAAGGCTGGTTGGAGACCAGACCGCACGTTCTGAATCCTAACTGGCTTCCAAAGTTGAAGCTGTCCAGGCCTGGTACGATCACGTTCGCATCGTCAGGGACAAGCGGTTGCATGACACGATGAATCATCAAGAGCTGCGCAGCCGCAATGGTGCCCTCCCTGTTTCCTTTTCGTGCCGAGCAAGCCTTCCGGGTACTCCAGGCATGTCAGCCTGTCTCGTCATCACGGCTACATGGGAAAGGGTTGGATGGGCTCGCTCGCAGGGCGACTGGCAGTTTCGGGGGAAAAGAGACCAAGCGACCTCTCCATCCGAGGATGTTGTCCAGAATCGCAGGCCGGCTCTTTGGGACAGCGGACTCTCCGGGGACTGCCCGGATCTGATACCCATTGAGGACGTGAATCAAACTCGTAGATGGAAGCGGGGGAATCCCTGACCTTTGCCCATGCAAGCGCCGAGGCGTTCAAATGAGACACTCAGCGAAGTGAGTAGTTGATCTTTACTAGCAGACGGATCGGGTGCGTCGTGTAAGGTAAAGACCCGCATCTCTGCTGTCTGCAACGAACCCCTCATGCATGCCCGCTCCGTCATCCGCTGTCGTCGTGTCGATGTTTATGCTGCTAATGACGGGGGAAATGGGACTCGAAGCTTTCTATGGAGTATGATGTTCGGGATACAGTGAACAGATTCCGGATTCCTTTTGGGAGCCCCGGCTTCGTGGGTGAAATTCGTGGGGTTGCCTGCAGAAACCGCTGCCTCTCCTGCAGGTTGGAAGCAGAAGCAAGATGATGCCAAGAAGCGCATCGAGCACAAGACGAAGATGAAGGCATGTGATTGCCCAGCAGCCGTTCGAGCAACGCGCCGATAGGGTGTTTTACTTATAACTTATACCACCGTAGCGAGGAGAGTCTTTGCGATCATGGTAGTAAATCTGGTGATGTTCAGTGTTCAGACTCGCAAGAACTTGGCGTCTGAGTTGTGCTGGGCGACTGCCTGCCGGCAAAGGATACATCTAGTGCGGAGAGCAATGTTCGATAGTCGCAAGCAGTTTCGAAGCTTTCCGGTACAGATGCTGTTTTGTCTGCCCAAGGCGCTCATCAAGCGCAATTTGCTCGAGAGGGGGCCACTGCAGCATCTTGAGGAGCCTTGCGGAAGTGCATGTTATCCTAGACTAGACGGTTGAAGGCCATTTTCGCCACAGTAATCTCGTGTTTGCATAGCCATCCCGCCAAGTGTATCACATGCAGCCGAGTGCAGAGAAAGCTAAGACTCAAATGAATGGTAGTTCGGCGCATCAGACTGAGTCAGGGTGTGAGCAACGGGCAGTTCAACAAATCCAGCCTTAGCAGCGGCGGGCAGCCATTGACGAGCACAAGCACAACCACGACCACCACATCCCCGGCAACAGCATTATCCGAATGAGTACCAGAATCAGCATCAGCAGCGCCGACGATGATGAACCGGCGTCACCGCCAGCTACGACGATACCCAACCAAAAACAACACCAGCAGCAACAACAAGGTAGCGCCGCCTCTCGCCGCCACAAAAACCGTAGGGTTTCTGCCAGGTTTCTGCGCAAGCGCGTTTCGGGAAAACTTTGCGCAGGAGAGCAGCTAAGAATATCCAGGAGATACCCTTGATTAACTATGCCTGTCGTGAGGAACTGCAGCAAACGCAGATCTCTTTCAGCGGTTCCACAGGGCACGAGTCGGGTTCATCGGTTCCACAGGGCACGACTCAGGAAGCTTTCAATCGACGTCTCTCGAAACACAATGTACCAACCTGCTCAGGAACCCTTGCTTCCGCCACAGCATAAAGGCCAATTCGTGTCGAGCATCATTCCAGAAATCCAGAATCGATCGCAACGCAGTTTGCCGAAAGTGCTGCAGATACCATTGAATATGCTGTCTTCGCGCACGAAACGGTCAGTCGCGGAAAATCTCGTACATACCAGCCACGTGTCGGGAAAGAACGACGCTTGCCAAATACCGTAAATACCAACATGTTCGAGCCTGAAAACGCAACAACTGGCTTTTTGGACCCTAGTGGCAAAAAAAACATCCGACGAAGGAGGAAAGTGTAGGCAGAGACAACGGAAATGCGCCGTAATTGTCGAGGAATGTGGTCTTGCACAGTCAAACAGGCGGCGCACCCAAACAATGCGAACGTACAGAAAGCGTTGGAACTACGGAGCATTTCGCTTCTTGGCAGAAGCTACGTTCTAGAGACGACAAGACCAGAACGAGAAGAAGATCGCAGTGAGAAGGAGCGAAGCTCTAAACATCGAGAACTTTGCATGTTTCGAGGCAAACGGATGCTCCTAAACCCCCCCCCCCCCCCCCCCTCCACCACGCCCTCCCCCATCGACCCGCCAATGACCTCGGCCGGATGGAAAGTGTAACACCTTCCGCGGCGCCGAAGGGCGGCGCTGCCAACAACAACGACAGCAAATGCTGCTGCTGTTACTACGATTATGACTACCACTAATACAACAGCAACAGCGACAGTACCAGCACCCCGGCGCCAGCACCAGCAACCGCAACAGCAACAGCACCAGCGCCAGCACCAGCATCAAACCCCCACACCACCACCACTTACCCCCACCACCATCAACAGCAGCAACAACAACGCTACAGCCACAGCGCCTGCGACTACAAGAGCAAGACTAAGAGCAAGACCAAGACCAGCAGCGGCAGTAGCAACAACAACAACAACAACGGCGGCGGCAGCGGCAACGGCAACACATTCACCAGCAACAAGAACAACAACAGCAGCAGCTTCTGCTATACTAGTACTACTATGTCTATTCCTGTTGTTGCTGCTGCTACTGCTGCTGCTGCTGCTGCCGCTACTTCTACTACACCACCACCACCACCACCACCAACAACAACAACAACAACAACACCTGCTGCTGCTGCTGCTACTATTATTACTACTATTATTATTATTATTACTACTACTACTACTACTACGACGACGACGACGACGACAACGAATGCCACGGCTAAACATGGTGCCAAAATCTTTCCCAAACTCCTTTTTCGGCCAAAGGAGTTGCGGAAAGAAGTCCTGTCAGGAGCAGAAGCCAAGAAATCCGCTCCTGCAGTCGACCTACGATGCCATCCAGGTCCTCTGTCTGGAATATGTCTCAACAGCTTTGGCCGATGTTTGACGAAGGCTGATGGCTAGTCAAAAAAACGTTATAAGCAAGATGAAGCTATCCGGTATAGCAGTTCTTACTCGCAGCGTCACTTAAGGTCCTTTTCACCTTTTACAGATAGCCAACCATGAACTTGCAAGGAGTCCTATCGGAGGCGGGCTGGGGAAGTAGGGCCACTGAGCGCTTACAGTCCCGCCATATCCCAGCCCATTGCACAGCAGCTTGCCAGTCAAAAGCGCTGAACCCATTAAAGCCACGAGAGCTCACGATGCACCCTTGGTTTTGGCACTGCCCCGAAACTATATTCTATTATATGTTATTATATTATACTATTATTATAAAATGTTACAGTTATATTACATTACATTACAATCATAATACACTATACTATATTATGTCATATTAATTGTATTATTCTCCGCCGACGAGGACACCGAGCCCTGGGCGGAGGTCACATGGCCCCGCTCGGCACAGCAAATTGAGCTGCTCAAGGCGGCCTTGTAGGGTTTTGGGTTTAGGGCTTTAGGGTTTAGGGTTTAGGGCTTAGGGTTTAGGGTTTAGGGTTTAGGAGGATCCCGGATGAGAGGATTGCCGCTCGCATATTGCTGCATAGTGCAGTCTACTAAGGTAGAGCATAGCACAGCGGCATAGCATGCAGAGCAGAGCAGAGCATAGTATCGATAGTTAGTATAGTATAGTATCGTATAGTAAAGTAATGTCAGGTAAGGTATACTATAGAACTGTAGAATATACTATAGTATGTTACTGTAGAAGAGACTTTATGATAGTAGTAGGCTGTAGTGTATTCTAGTATAGTGTGGTATCTTGTAGTAGGTTTACAGTCTATAAAACCCTAAACCCAAAACCCAAAACCCCAAGCCCTAAAAACCCTAAAACCCATGGAAAAAAAGCCAAAACCCAAAATGCTAAGCCCAAAACCCAAAAACCCTAAAGCCCAAAACCCTAAGCCCAAAACCCTAATTCTCCCTTCTTTCTTCGAGAGTGACAGGATTGGCCGGCGCCTCGGCCCTCGCCATACTACACGCTTCGCGTGTGGGAAGTGGTGAGGCCGTTTATGCCCGACTTTCAGGGCTTGGGATTTAGGGGTTTAGGAGTTTAGGGTTTGGGGTTTAGGGTTTAGGGTTTAGGGTTTCGCTTAGGGGTTTAGGAGTGTAGGATTTGGGGTTACGGGGTTTAGGGCTTGCCCCTGAAGCGCCGCACCTTCGACCCAACGGAGCGAAAGCCAAAACCCTACCCAAGGCCACACCGTCCACATCATTTGGATGCTCGCTCGAGTTTAGGGTTTAAGCCCTATAGTCCTTTGAGGGTCTGGGGCCCAGGCATAATTAGTGGTTTAGGGTTTAGGGTGCGATAGGGATCTGAGTTTTGCGACCGATTTCCGTTGATGACGGTCCCGGACTATAGTATCATATACCCAGCACCCCATTTTAACTCTTCAGGCCCCTGTAGTACGTTGGGCAACTGAGATTTCTCAGGGTGAGCGCGTGCCCCACGATGTTTAGCTTTGCATTCCTTTTGGCAAGCGATGAAGTGTTTGCACCAATGCGACATTTTGCCAACACCCGAAGCCCCAAACTCCTAAGCCCTACTCTGAGGTGGTATGCAGTTTGCATGCCTACCGTAAGCCCTGAAACCGAGTCCAGGACGCAAGCGCGACGGTCCATTTGATTTGGGGGTTGGAAGATGTGGTATCGCGCCACCCTTACAAGGGCCCATATACTTAAGCTGCCTAGATTCCCTAGATTTCCCTAGACCAAGGTCCCGATACTAGCCCTGTAACCTCTGCGACGCCGAGCTCCGAAGTCGAAAGCTCCTGGAGGCACGAACTGCGCTCCCAGGAGGCCGGTTCCCAAAGCCGCATGCTTCCGCTGCTCGGGAGGAGGCATCGCCCCGGGGGGTTCCGTGTTCGGGTTGTTTGGTCTTCATCCGGGCCTCTTGTCTCTCCGTCTTCAACTTCACTACATTCCAGGATGGGAGTAATGGCCGAGCCGCTGAGCTCGAACTTCGCCCATGGCCCCGTAACCCGGGTAAGCCCTGCTAGGCCAGAAGAGCCAGCTACACCGTCGCCAGAACCAGTGCCAGAACCGCCTCCTCGGAAAGGGAAAGGATTGGGGGCACTTTCTCAATGCAAGCATTCCGCCAGCCTCCCTTGCTTGGACAGTCTCAGCATGAGAGCCGCTATGAAGATAGGGGTGATTGTTCTTGCCGAGCTTCCAAGGCATGGCTCAGCGGTCTGAAAGCAGCGCGCTCTGAAGCGTCTTGAGCGTTCGTTGATTGTAGTTTGATCTGCAGAGCCGGGCGTCAAGCCGCAGTCGTGAGGACTAAACCGGGACAAGTTCATGTCAGGACTGCCTCCAAGCCCCTAGTTGGTATGATGCTACGATGATGTCTCAACGAGCTGCATTTGCTGCACATACTTGTCGCGCAACGTGACCGGTAGCGCACGCGTCTACGCAGGTGTAGTCCTAGTTCTCGCGGCTGCATGGTGTCCTGGCAATGAGACCTCCCAGCCCAAACGTACCAACAGCCGTAATATGTGCCTTGTCCAAAATGTGATGATGGGTTTCGTAGCTAGCAGCTAGCAGAGTAAGATCCGTAGTGAAACTGTTCACAATAGTAGTGATGGCTTAGAACCTCTCCGGCATCTTTGCTCTCTTCTGCATGACAGTTCCGTGGTGCACAGCAAATTGTAGGTGACAAGTTGCAGTGCTTGCTGCTTGTTGAAAGCGAGATGCGCACTTGTTGTGGCTGTGGAGGCTGCAGAAAATGTGTGGTTCCTATTGATCGACAGTTCTTGACGACGCCTCGGCCAGCGAGTCATGTCGACAATGTCCAAAGGAGGGTCCGTCGCAAGCGGCAGCCCCTCCAGCACCGGCTCCGACGGCAGAGAGGTGCAAGCTGTGCCAGACTATCACACTGCTTAGTGTTCTGGGTTTACGGTTCCACTGCTTGGTTTGACGGCCAATGGCTTTTCCACCTTTTGCATCCGGTTGGTGGCCCTGTCACTTGCAGGCCTCCCCGGCGAGTAGTGCAGACTGTGGTTCAGCGTGACCGACCGGCCAAGCACTCCTAACCGGTACTTTCCGCGGTAAGATGGCCGCAAACGCCCTCGTCTTCCTGGGCTTCTCCTTTTGTTCTACATGCCTACCATGCATCCTTCTGAAAATTCTAGTTTCTGTTTGGCAAAGCATGGACACAGCCAGGGGCCGCCGCCGCCGCCGCCGCGGCTAAAACTGGATGATGATGCCAGGCGAGAGATATACAGTGCTTCCGACAAGGCGTAGTTGCACTGTAGTTGCACATGATTGACCTGTTCTTCCACTTGACGTTTGCCTTTCGTTACCGATCGAAGTTTTGCAGTGTTCTTCCTGGTTATGGATACTTTATATCTACACATGTCTACATCGCTCGCTCGCTCTCTCATTCCCACTCTTTCTGCCTTTCTCTTTCTCTCTCTATACATTAAAAACAAATCAGCAATCAAGCAATATATATATATATACACACACACACATACACGTACATACTAGGTATGCGCATATACAAATCTATGTGTAGATGTGTACATGTTTATACGTATATTTGTACATGTATATATATATATATGCATACTATCTATATATATATGCACATGTGTGTGTGTGTGTTCATGTTTGTTGTTTTCGGGGGCTCCTGTCGAGACATCTGCAGGTCAGATGCCTCGTCCCCGTCTTCCCCTCGTGGACGAATGTCCCCAACTGGAGGCGGCTAGATTTCTCAGTTCGACACATCCTTCATGTCAAGTGTATCATTGGCGCCACAGCCAGTTCACATGTAGCACTCTTGCTTTTAACTGCCCGGCCTGAGCTCGCTACGCAACAGTCCAAGCAGTCGGCGCGCAAATAAACTTCGTCGCATCAGTCATCCGTGAATAGTCGTTGTGACGCACTTAAGCCACAGCTGTGGCTTCCAATGTGTCGTTGTTCAGATCGCGGGAAGCCGACTCATGCACTGAATGCTTGCAGAATGCGCAAGGTGGGCCTTCATCTTTGTCCAGATTCCAAATCTCAGGATGCTTGACGGGAAGGTACCGTGTAACATAGGCATCACCTTTTGATGCAATTCTCGGGCTGATCATGGCAGTCCTGCTAAATCGCACGAAGCAGCTACTCATATCCGATTCGTCACCCTAGGATAGGCGTGTACATACGCACAGAGATACATGAACGTACGCAGCTGTACGCGGACATGCCTGCCCGCACGCACGAAGCCTGACAATTCCCATCTTCAATCGCAGAGCGCTACTGGGAAGCCGCAGGCAGTCGAGCCAGGTGGGGTCTGAGACTGCACTTGCACGCAAGACAGTCGTTGGTGCGCGTGACAGAGATCTTTCAGTCGTACTGGTGGAAGCTCAACAGACCCTTGAAAACCCAGCGCGTCGGGGGGCGCCCGTGGAGTGGCCGGGTCTAGCATTCAGGGTAGGGTCTAAGGTTTCGGGAGAAAAGAAAGGGGGGCGAGACAGCCGATAGAGGAGAAGAGAAAAAGTGTGGACCACCTGTAATGGCTTGACTCGTGCGATGTTGACAGGGCTGCGGTTGTTGGGGACGGGTTGGCCGCTTGGCCCATTCTTCGACCAAGGAAGGAAAGCCATGATGATGCGACCTGGCTGCGAGAAATGAGCCGTGCTTCCGACTGGAAAACACAATTCGTTCGTGCCGTACCGAACTCCGATTCGGGTCAGCATGATCTTGCAAAACTGAGGGCGAAAATGATCAAGATGAGGCCGTTTGTTTTTTTCCGGTGGTTTGTGTTGCGTGCCCGCTGATGTCGGCAGTTCTGAGTCTCTGTCTGGAGCACTCCTGCTGAGCCTCGCTGCCGATGGGCTGCCATGAAGAGCGGGGGCTAGCAGGCGTAAGTTGTGGAAGGAGAGGGTGCAGTATTTCAGGTTCGGCCCTACGTTTGTGGCATGCCGGGTTTCCGTCTTGATGACTGTGTCAGTGGAGCCACGGGCTCTGCATAAGGATCCGCAGCGGGCAACATGCGACATTTTTGCTGGCAAAGTCCTCTGCATGAAGCTTGGTCCATGTCCTCCTAAAAACCCTTGGGTGTCTTGGCCAGGACCGTCGGCGAGCTTTCCACAGGTGAGGTTTCACGCGCAGACAATAGCGTGCCCGGGTGAGGTCATGCCATTTTGGCTAGCCCAGACAATGCCGCCAAAGATGTGGAAATTCAAGCGTTTTGGCCGTGGTGTCAAGGTTCCAAGCAAAGTGGGGCGAGGCAAAGGCTCCAACCTTGAGCATATTCGGCCGAAGGCGGTCGCTCGAGAGTTCCGCTAGTGAGTCGCTCGCTGCTTGGGCAGGCAGCCGTTTGTTATACCACACTATCGAAGCCATGTGTCGGGAGTGGGGACGACTGGGCTAACAATCCCTTCTGACCGATAGCATCTATGCTCTTCTAGACTCTTAGATCGGGTCGAAGTCCTGCAGAGGCCACGCGGGGTTCACAGACGTGCCTCTGTGGACTGACCAGCATCTTCGGGCTGTGCTGCAGAGAATTCTTATCCATCTGCCGTTTCGGATGTTGCATAAGACGTTGGGCTCTAGGCCTCCTTACTGGGACTTCCGATCTTTGAAGCCCGAGGGTGGATAATGCTTCCGGCCATGGCAGAAGGCGAAGCCTTTGCCCGGCCGTCACACTGCTTCTGCGAACTGCGCAGCGGGCAAAACCCATCCTTGCGCCTGCTGACCTGCTGACGGCTTCCGAGAGAGATCTAGAGAGCAAGGGAAGCTGCCACAAACACATGGTGTTGCTGTAGGCCCTCCTTCACACAGATGCAGTTAGCAGCTCTCCTTCCCCCAGGTGCCGATGATGGCAGTTTCAAGATTTGGGACACTCGACACGTCGCTGCAGGCCGGTTTTGCTGAGCGCTCTTGGTTTGGAGAGTCAAACTCACAGAGCCACCAATCTCGAGGACCTATGGCCAACTTCAAATGGCACCGGCAGCCTATTTGCTCTGTGGATTGGTGCGGGGACCTGGGCTAGACGTCACTAGAGCCTAGGCATGCGATCAGTTCCCTTGGCCATGTGTTTGCTGACCACCTGGGTGCTGCGGCTTGTGTCCACTGTTGCTGTTCCGGGCGGTTGACAGGGACCTGTTATTTTCCATTGCTGTGCTTGTCGTGGTGACAGCAAGCCAGGGCGACCTACGAGCCAAATTATCCCACCGTGTGCGGGTTAGGTTGTAGTCTGGGCTGGTCGCCTTGCCTCTCGTTGCTCGTCACTCATTACCCTCATTCATCCGGTCTGCGCATAAGAAGCTCGCAACTCCTCAAAGTGACCAGGCTTAGCCATAGCATCGGAGGTAATAAACACGACGGTCAACCACGCGGGTCCAGATCGGGATGGACCGATGGGCCATATATGCATCTCGTACCTGGCAGAGCAATACCAACCTTGGCCACCAACTTTTCGTGGAACATGGCACAACTTTGGTTCAATAACCTGTCAGGCATGACCAAAACCCCTGAAGCCCGAAACCTAGTCAATCTCTTATGTACAGATTCAAACAGCAGCGATGAAAGCCGAAGAGCCCGCGCTACACTTCTGAACTCCTCCTAGCAACGAAGATGCTTCTGCAGGCATCCGACAGACGAAACCGTGTTAGCTGTGGCTTCTGCAGACGAAGCTCGGCAGCCACTTCGTGTCGGTTCGTGGCTTGCAAGGTTGGGTTTAGGGTCTCGGTTTTAGAGTACAAGGTTTTGGATGACGAAGGTTTTGCCGAGGATCATCCAGTGCCTTCCCTTGTCAATGTATGAACCTTCCCTGAACCTCTTGAGTTGGAGCCCCCAATCTTGCACGCACGTGTTCTGAGGGAGCGATGCGTTAACAAGGAGAAAGAGTGTTCCGGTTTTTGGTGAATTCAGCAACCCCCACGCCTTTTGGCCACTTGCGGTTTAGGTTGCCGGAGCCTGCAAAACTTCGAACGATGCCCAATTTGCCTCATTGCCACGGCCATGCAAGCCTGCTCAGGATAGCGCTTCTCTGTGGGACATGGCGGTAGAGGCAGAGATATTTGACTCAAGCCTCAGACTGTTCGTTGGCTTTGGCCTTGCCAGGCCGTGAGTAGTTCGAATATATTTAGCCATAGGCTAGCATGTTGCATCTAGCGGAAGCAGCTTTAATATTTTGCATTGCATTGTGCCAATGCCGCTCACGCTCGAACATGCTCGAACCAATTATTGGTGACGGTGCCTTGCTAGAAGCAGGATGTGCGATCTTGCGGTGCGTTTTGCATGTGTGCATCGAAGTTGAAGCGATGTGGGTTACGTCAGTCTAGCGGTTGATTCGGCTAAGCTGCTAAACAAAGCCGCCATTGTTCATCAGCCATGGAGAAGCCTTTGGCGCTGGTGGCCAGGCCCCTTGCTTTTAATACGCACATGCTCATTCAGCGCTCTTGATTCTTGACTCTTGAGGATGTATTTAGATCGGGTCTGGTCTGCCTGAAGCTTCCGCGCTGCCGTTGGATGGCGTAGATTTGCCAAAGTAGTCCTTCTTGTAGAGTGGAGCCCTTGAGGTCATTATAAGCTCTCAGATCACACTCCCTCTTCCTGGATCAGGAGCCCAGAGTTCAAGCAGGGCATCATGGAGGTGTGGCAGCCCAAAGGCCCGTGCGGCTTGCCAGTTGTGCCCTGTTGCTCCTGGCACTTCAGGGTTTGGGTTTAGGGCAGCCGCCAGGGGCATGTACAAGTCCGTGCAACAAAAGGGTAGCCACCAGAGGGCAACAGGCCGGCCTGAGACTGAAACTGGGACAGGGTCAGTTGAAGCACTGCAACCAGAAACAAAGGACAAGCGCAAACCACCCTTCGCCCGAAAGTTCGTTTGCCAGCCCGGACATTTTCCTGCACAAGGGCCTGTCGTGCTAGCACCGAAGTCGGCAGGTGTTTCTTGCGTCGCATGTGTGGAGCCAATCGTTGGGTGGACCAGTCGAAGCCAGGCTTCATGATCCCTCCCAACCAAACCAAACCCTAGGGCTCCAGTTACCTAAATAGTAGGTTACTGGGGTACATAATATATGGTTAGTAACCCACTATTTAGGTAACTGGAGCCCCAGAAAAAACCTATGCGCCGCAATCTTTGAGACCAAGATCTGAACAGACATCCGCCAAGCCTTGCCCAGGGCTCCCGGAATCTGCACCGAGCAACCTTACCTACAGTCTCCATTGTAGTTCCTTTTTTTGGTTTAACCAAATCTATATTAAGGATCCTAAAAGGTAACCCCAAAAAGGAACTACAATGGAGACTATAGGTAGAGAAGCAGCAGAAGTTTAGAGCTGCACAGGAGCTGCGGCATCGAGTCGTTGTTGTCACGAGGTAGGAACACTTGCTGGTTGCAGAAAGCCAGGGTAAATTCAAATTTGGTCTGCAGCCACATGCCGGTTCGCCTAGATTCCTAGATGTGCGGCAGGCATTGGCAGTGATCCCCCCAGCTTGAGTGTCAAGGAAGTGCAGATAAAGATCCCAGGACTGTCCGGCCGATCTCGGCAAAGCTTCGGATGGCTTTCCACCGTTCTCAGCATTACGGAGAGTAACATAGGGGCCTTATAGAATTAGAATAGGGGTTTTGGGGCTCATTATACTGTTCAGTTCAAGCATTGAATCTGAACGGTAGGTTCCAGCAGCGCCTGTTGTGAGGATGCGATGAAGTCCTAACTTTGCCTGTCTACACCAACACCAAAGTCATTGAGGTCAAAACGCTTCTGGAGGAGTGGAAGTTTGTTGCGCATTTGTTCTGAGCTCGACTTCGGGGCTCGAGGGTAGTTATTAAGCTTCTGCACAAGTATTTATCGCTCCGGAGAAGAAGTGCATACAGCTCTGAACGCGGCTGCCCACGAGCCCTCGGCATGCAGGGCAAAGCATGGGCAAGCTCCTGTAGGCTCTGCTCTGTACCCAGGCTACACAAGAGCGGATGTCTGAGGCCATGGTTCTCACCAGCATTTCCATGGCCAGCGCTAGAATCTGCACCGCCATAATACCATTAGCGCAAAATGCCACCAACGGCGGCACATCATCATTCATTCCTGGTATCACGGCCACCAACAACGCAGCCACCATCAGTCATCATCACTGTCATCACCGTCACTAACCGCATCACCATGACGTTCGCCATCATCATCACCGTCATTACCAGCAGCGAAGCAGCATCGTCATCATCATCATCATCATCATCATCACCGTCATCATCATCACTTCCCGGCCTCGCCTGTACCATCTCAGTCAAAGTAGTCTTCAGCCGCACCAGTGGTCTCTTCTGCTGCTTGTCCTCAGCGTGTTCTGACGGGCCCTCTGTGCCTGATCCAGCTGTTGTTGCTTGGCCATTCCCTGCATCTCCTGGAAGGATCGGCTGGGAGTCGATGCGGATCGGCTTCGACTGGTGTATAAGACAGGAAGCAACTACCGACAGCACCAAGACTGCGACGAGATCGCGCGGCATGTGGCCACTTGACTGCGCTGCTGTGTTCCTGCCTTCTCTCTACTGAAGACTTGTAGGTAGTTGTGGTTGGCCTGCAGGTTCTTCATGGTGTCAAGTCCTTCCGTCGGGTCAAGAAGCACTACGAGTTCCCACATCTCATCATCGGTGCAGGGCACATTGGCCTCAAGTTTGCCATGACTTGGCTTATGGAGGGCGTTACCAACTTCTTGGTGGTGGATCGGAAAGCCCAGGCCTGCCAGGGTTGAGTTGTGATGCGAAGTTGCCATGCCCGTGTGCACGGCAAGTACAAAGAGTCGCGTGAATCCCGCCGGGTTTCGCCTGTCAGCAAGCTGACACATGCAAAGCGGGCTTCCAAGCGAAAAGTCGGAAGTCAGATGCCGATGCGGGGCAGAAGAAGGATCAAGGCAAGCAGGGCGATCGCATGTTCGTCATCTCTGACCGAAATCATTGCCAACATTTTTCCTGTGCAGCCCATTAATCACAGCATCCCAAGCTTTTGCCTCTGGAGTGCGTGTCGTGCCTGAAGCCCTGCTTCCGTCTTCTGTACAGTTGAGCATGCGACCTGCTGTAAACTTCACCCCATTCTCTGATGCCGTGTGGCTTTTTTCGCCTAGCCGCAACTGACAGCCCGCCTGTCGGGGCTGACTCTGCTGTCGCCGCTGTGGGCCTTCTTGCTCCTCCTCCAACCCGTAGTCCTGCTGCTCCGCCTGCTCCACCTCATGCTCTGCCTCTCGTCCGCCCCACGAAACTGACGACGATGAGCACCCCGGTACCCTGCTCCTTGCTTCCTCCTGATCGCCTCGTCACAATGAAGATGGCAGCGGCGGTGCTGATGTGCACACCGACCGCGGCAAAACGAGCAGCCACGAGGGGGGGGGGGGTTGGGGGTTGGGGCACGACAACAACTCTTCCTTTCCTACATTTCGAGATTCAGTAGTCGCCACTTGTGCCAAAGCACCTTTGCTTGGCAGGTCGGGGGTGCTTGGACTGGCATGTCAGAATCCTTTTCTCTTTCTTCGTCGCTGAGTTCAGGGTGCCTGGTGACTCCTGAAAAGCAAAGCCTTCGAGCCCGCACGTCCCCCAACTTTTCCCCGAAAACAAGTGGTAGCCCCCGAAGCCACTGACCAAGCAAGGCACCTCATGGCTGGACCAGGCTAATTCCACGTCTCGACTGCAGACGGAGGTGGAATGCGGGGTTTCTTCTAAGTCTTGACTGCTACTGTTTCTTGGGTCTCGTTTGTCTAGGTCAGTCTAGGTGTCTCAGGCTCTGGAACGAGTACCCAAGTGTCTGCCACTTTTTTTCACAGAACTTCCCAATCCGGTTCGTCATGACTACACTTCCCGGAGGCTTCCGGTTTTCATTTATTCAGATCAGTTTCAACAAACAGGGCTGCCCCAGAAAGAGCGACAGATGCGGAGAGTCACGCCTCTCCTGACAAGGTGGGAGTCTACCACTTGGAGTACCACGAGAACCACGGCTGGCCTGATTGGGCTTCAGACAATCCGTGGCCATCGAGGGCATCTGGCTTGCAAAGCAAGTCACGGAAATTCTTAAACAGTGACCTACCACGTGCCCACGTGCGGGTGTTCATTCGTATAGTTAGGAAGCGAAGGCACAGTCAGACGATCTTGGAGATACGCAGAGCCTCTGATCTTTGGTGTTGTAGGCTCCATTGCAGCGTGCTCCGGCGTAGTTTGGACTGTATTGGGCTACTGTCTTTAACTGGCGGCTTGCCTGGCTTCTCCGAAGCAAGCGAACATGCAGAGTTCAGGAAGGGATCCTTGCAGAATATTCTCAAAACAAAAGTTCCCTACAAAGGAGCAGCGACATGATTGATAACCGCCTGAATGAGGACAAGCTGCTCGAGCACTTCCAGGATGTGTCCGAACGATACGGACTTTTGCCCTATGTGCGGCTGAACACCTCCGCAAATTCCCTGAACGTCATCGGTGGCTCGGAGAAATGCTTTGCTTATCGCCCTGCCCTTGAGTGGTTTTGGATGGTGTTTGCGCCCCATCTCGGAACAAAAGTGAATGCGCCAGGCTGTCGCCAGTTTTGCCAGGTTTAGGGTTCAGAGTCCATGAAAAACCCCAGACGGCCCTCATCCAAACTGCGAGCCGAACAACCTTACCTGGAGAGAACCCTAAGCCCGCATATGCTGGCCTAAGGAAAGGAGTATTGGAGCCAGAGCTATGAAGTCACCATGAAGACGAAGGGAAAGGAGGAAGAGGTATTCAGAGCAGCCTCCGTGTCGCTCTTCCCTGGAAACCTGACGAATCCGAAACGTGTTACTTACCCGGGAGAGGATACTTTCGAAGGAGACATCGTTCCTTGACGGTCACACGTGCAGCGCTGTTCTTTGTAGGACCCTTGATATCGCCAACGTCCATGAAAGCTTATACAACGTAGAGGGTATTCCATAGGGGTGTTGTATGGTGTCTGACCGCACGATCTGCCATCTCCCTTCCCAGCAATTGTAGCGCGTGCTACCTCATTCCTACCAGGTGTATGGCATCAGCAATGCTTTCAATTACGAGAAGGTTCGCGGCAACAACGTTATGATCGTCGGCAGCGGTGCCTTCGCAGTTGAGAACGTTCGAACTTGTGTGGAGTTCTGTGCCAAGAAGGTGTGCCTTGACTGAGATTGCAGGGGCAGACCGCTCAAGTCTTGGTGCATCGTGTAGCTTTGTTAGTTCTCTCATTCTGGCACGGCTCCCTTTTTCGTCTTTGGTAGAGTCAGAGCAAGTTTACCAAGCTCAAGTGGCATCAGCCTGAGATCCCGCTGTGAGGTACATGGTCTGCCGCCGGAAGACCATCTCCATGCCACGCCTGGTTTCATGGTTCATCAACCAGGCGGATATCCAACCCCGGGGAGTAGGCTTGTCACGAACAGCTGAGATGGATGCATCTTAATATAGTATACAGTAATAGACTATATAATATAATAGCCTAGTATAAATGGTTCTTGAAACCTTCCTCCGCCCGCCTTGACAGGGCTGAAGGGCTGGACGGTCAGAGGTGGGGTTGGAGGGTTGGAGGTCGTGCGTCAAAAGTGGGAGGCGCATACGTAGGGGTGGTGGGTGACCGGATTCGTGGGCTTGTTGAGTGCTCGAAGCGGTATTGCTGCCGCCCTGTCAAATGTTGCGACACTTGTAGATATGCATGTCAATGAGCGCCGCTACTGTACCGAATCCTGAACAGACTTGTTCCAGCGGTTTACAGATCCGGGAATCTGAAAAACGGCATGGGGCTGTCCACATGGCGTGCTCTTCTTTTTGCACAAAAATCCTGCATGAGATGGCTATGTACGTGAGCTGTCGTCGAGTTGCACGCCTGGGCCAGTCAGCGCAAGCCATCTCGGCGAAGCTCACCCTGGATTCCATGACGCCGATGTATGACCCGCTGCAGGGGGAAAGGGAAGCTTCTGGGATCATCTGGTAGTCAGAAGCAGGGCGAACGATGAGATGGCCAGAATTAGTGACTAGTTGTCATCAGATTTTGCCTTCAGCCTTGTTTAGCTTTCAGGAAACCTTCGCAAAGTTGCGTGTGAAGCATGCCAGAATACAAAGCTGCGTCGCCTGGGATGGTTGACTGGATTCAGGCAGATAGAGGGCTCCAACCACGGACGCTGCATAGTTACGACCTTGCAGTTTTGCCCCGCAGGACCTGATCGGCGTGGACCAGTGGTCTTACTATAGCGTCATCAGCAATGAGGCGAGGACAAACGTAACGATCAAGCAGAAAGCCCGGTTTGGTATCGGAGATGTGTACTTCCTGGCCGCGGCTTGCGGCTACTGCGAGCACATCGTGGACGACACAAAAAGAGTCAGTGGCAACACCATTCACCTGAACAGTGGTCGCAAGCTGGAGGATGTGAGATCCATCCTCAAACTGTGTGGCTTCAATGGTGAGCCCCTCCGAATGAAGCTTATGCAAGGACGAGGAATGTTAGCGAGAAGCCCAACATGTCTTTGTGCACGACATTACCACACCTTGAAGCAGAGGTTCGCCAACGACCGGCTGCTCAAGATTAAGGAGCTGTATGGTTGGTGGGTGAACAAGGAGTCTCAGATGCAAAGGCCATAAAGCTGTATCCGTCTACGAGACTGCTTCACTTTCTTGGTCCCAACATTCAAGCAGCATCCGCGTCTTCATGAAGCGACAAGACAGGCCGGAACTCAGAACAGCTGTGGACTACCCGCTTGCCGAACCTACGCCTCGAAACTGCGCCAACGTGTAGCGGCTGTCCTATATACACCAATTCAACACAAATCCATGTCTTGCTGCATGATTGTAGATCCAAGACCCGACGCTTTAATTCATGAGTCGGCCATTTCCCTTGGCGAGTTGGGCCGCCGGTGACTTCCACAAGGTCTGCTATCGAGGTTTGTTAAAATGGTACTGGTAGGAAGCAGAGGGTCGCAAGGATCCAAAGACTGAGCATTGAGCGGGGCTTAGGCTCAGCACCCGAACACGCCTCAACCGCAAGAGCCCTAAACCCCAAACGGCCCTAAACGGCCTGTCTGGTCCGAGTTGTGAGAGCGTAAACGGCCCTAAACCCTAAACCCTGGATGGGGATAAAAAAAGCCCTGAGCGGCCTGAGGATTACCGTCGTTACATCGTGGCTGAGCCGATCTTCGCTCCCCGGAGTTTCAGAAGTCTTTGTGCTGCCCTCTGCGATTCTCCGTGGGATGTAGGGTTTGGGGTTTAGGGTTTAGTTTAGGGGTTTAGGAGTGTAGGATTTAGGGTTTAGGGTTTAGGGTGGATTGCACGTTTTGCTGTGATGCTTGCGTTCCTGGCAGGAAGGAAGGAAGGCGCGAAGCCCAGAAGGAAGGAGGCCAACAGACAACGATTGCTGCGAGGTTTATTCATTTCGCGGCGATTAGCACACCCACTCTGCTTACTTCGGCGGCAAAACTGCAAACGTAAGCTCTCTGTAGCGGCTGTAGCCGTTGTGGCCACGGTGACGCGTCTGATGGTGCAGGTGATCGAGATTGCTACAAGCACTGTGTTTATTTCAAGTATGCTTCCCTTGAACATGAAGCTGACCACTGTCACCAATGACTACCTATGACCAATGATTGCAGCCCGACCGTGCATCATCGTCATCACCATCATAGCCCTTGACATTCTCAAAGTCGCCACCGACTTGGTTACAAACGAACGGCCCGCGCCCATACAAGAAGGATAATGAGTGGGACGGTCCGAATGTCCGTGATAACCAGAACAAATCGTGGCATGCGTGCCTGAGCGACAAACCGAGGTCTAAACGCCAACCCATGGTTCCTCGAGAAATATCCTTGCATACAAAGGACAAGCAGACATCAATATGATCCTTCACCCGTTTCTCATGCAAAGGACATGCAATCGTCAGCATGAGCCTTTCCATTGTGCTCACCTGACCATCTTCGAAAAGGGAGCTGGCCCTTGAAGACTTGCCAGAGGCAACAAGCCCCAATCCAAGTGAAGTGGCGCCAACTCCAACGAACTTAGGGTTTAGGGATGTTTAGGGTTTCGGTGAACATCTTTGACTTTTTGACAGCTTGTAGTGTCGTCTGTACTCCTGCTACACCACTAGCCCACAAGCCTTTGCTGGGCAGCTGTAGTCTCTTTGCATCCTAGCTCCCAAATGCCGAAACCCGAGGCCCCAATGTGCCCTAAACAGAGTGTTACACCTTGAACTCAAAACGCCTAGCACTTAGCACGTTTCTTCCACCTTTGTTGCACAAGAAGACCCTCAAAGGTAGATGCTGGTAACTTCGGCTCTACCAGCTTCTCCCCCGGTGCCATCAACTGGTCGGAGACGCAGGCTTGGCCTTGCACCGGCCCTGCAGTAAAGGACTGCAAGCGATTTCCGATAAAGGGAGGGTGCCGGCTTTGGGGGTTCGCAGCAGCACAGGGAGCCTTACCCATTATCGTATTGTCGCCACAGTTACAGTTGGGATGGAGCGAATGTTTGTCATCAGCCGGCTCGTGAGGTAAGGTGCTATTGTGGGTTCGAAAATACCGGACTGCTCCAGCACCTCAGAGATGGTAGCAGCTAGCACGGCTACAATCGACATGGCGACAGTAGCCATGGTCGTACAAAGAGTGCTATGCAGAGCCGGAAGACAAGTATGGCACGAAGAAAACTCCGAAACCCGGGAAACGCGATCAATCGCCTGCAAACCGTGATGTCAGAGCGCTGCTTGAGCATCCGTGCTGGAAGGCACATCTTTTGATGTATCCCAAAGATTGGGAGCCTCTCTATGAAGGCAACTGCTTCCCGGTGCACGAGGTGGGGGTTGCACAGACTCAGAAAGTAGGGCGTTCAAGAGTTAATCCGTGTTCTAATTGGAACACCTAAGCGAAAGGCCCTGCAGGCATGCATGCGAGAAGAAGCCATGCGCATTTACTTAACGAGCTACCTGCTCAAATATGCATGCATGTACATACATTATATATATATGTGTGTACATATATATATATATACATATGTATATATATATATATGTATATGATATATACATATATATATA